CCCTGATGTCAGTGTTTTTTTCCTGAAAATGATTTATGTTCACAGGAAATTTTGTGCATGAACCTATCTGAATTTCCTCAGAAGTCCATCACAAACTTAGGTATCAACTTTAAATCTTTTTAAAGTGAAACACGACGATGTTGGTTTTATTTGTTTGGGCGGAGAAGGGGAAACTGTGACAAGGAAGTCAGCTCTGTCACTACCTGAAAGCAGACACAGGTCCTCCTGGAGACACGAGGGCTTAAAACAAACAACAAAACAAACAACTCTCACAGAACTGCTGGAAGGTCTCTGAGGAGGTGGTATTTCTGGTGAAGAATAATTTCAGCAAAGATCAGAAGCCTCGCCCAGCCGGCGTGGCTCAGTGACTGAGCTTCGACGTAGGAACCAGGAGGTCAGGGCTCAGTTCCGGGTCGGGGCACATGCCTGGGTCTCAGGCTCCATCCCCAGGGTGGGCTGTGCGAGAAGGCAGCTGATCAAGGGTTCTCTCTCATCACTGATGTTTCTAGCTCTCTCTCCCTCTCCCTTCCTCTCTGAAATCAATAAAAATATATATATTTTTAAAAAAGATCAGAAGCCTCCAGGTGTACGCCAACAACGTGCTTGGTTTGGTTAAATTCTAGTGAAATTAAGCGTGTGCTTTTGAAGGCGACTGAGGAGCAAAGCGAGCCCCTTGGCGAGGGACAGCCTGTCCTCGCTGGGCCTCCGTGTTCCGGGCTGAAAAAAGACGACCCACTTCTTACCTGAGCTGAAGGGCTGGCGAGGTCAGCCTGCTGCCGTCCCAGATGCTCTGCGCCCGCAGCTGCACCAGGTTACTCCTTTCCTCTCCCCATTCCTGTCTCTGTAGCCACAGAGGGAGGCTTCAGGGCTACTGACCACGGATAGGGGAGGCCAGGTAGAGACCTGGGAAGCTGTGCTGGCCACAGGGCTGGAGACGCAGTGATAAAGAGAGACTCAGAGACAGAGGGACGATGGAGACTTGGAATGGGAATTAGGTGGCGAGAGGAGGCAGCACGGAGCAAGGGCGGGCCAGAGGCAGGCCCTGTGGAGTGGAAAGCAGGGCGGGCCCAGGAGGCAGGTCCCACCAAGAAGTGCTGTTTGCCCCCTTGTTCAGCTGGGGGGCCTTGGTGAAGCCAGGCGCCTGGGGCTCTTCCCCCTAAATTACCCCAAACCCTGTGGGTCTCCCCAGGGGCTCAGAGTTCTCTCTGCTCTTTCTCCCTTACCAGATCGGACTGTGCCTTGCCTGCTCACACACCTGCCATGGCTCCCCATTTCCCTCCACCCATGGAGCTGAGCTTCAGGTGTTCTGCGGGGATGGTCTAGTGGAGCCAGCAGAATAAGTGAATAATAGTGAGAATTTTCAAAAATCCTTACCACTGATTCTTAGAGAGAGTGGAAGGGGGGAGGGAGAGGGAGAGAAACATCGATGTGAGAGAAACACGGCAATGGGTTGCCTCCCACATGCACCCTGACCGGCCAACGCTCTAACCACTGGTCTGATAATGTTTAGGTCCTGTGTCTAGCCCTGCGTTCAGCCCTTTATGTGGATCAGCTCTTGGACCCCATGCTGCACAGTGAGGAGGTCTTAAGTCAAAGGCCTCCGGGTCTGTAGCCCTGGCTGACTGCAGATGGAGAAGCCATTGCCTGCGCACTTCTGGATCTATGCCAGGGTGGAGGGGTTCTCAGACCCACCCTTAGCCCCAAGCTCTGTGCCTTTAGCAGGCAGCAAACAGGCAGGAGGCTGGGGCGTCCCCTGGTGGCCACAGCGGAAGCAGCGGCTAGAGCTCTTATTCCTCTCCTCGGCCTCACTTCCTCCTTCGGGGAGCAGGTACCACCAAGCCCCAGGCTGGTGAGGGAATAATGAGCATGACTAGCTGGTGTGTGTGTGTGTGTGTGTGTGTGTGTGTGTGTGTGTGTGTGTGTGTGTGTGAGTTTTCCACGGCTCCTACTCCTCTCCCTAACCAGCCTCTTCAGAATTTTTTCAAAACAAAATTTAAATTTTTTAAAAATATATTTTTTATTGATTTCAGAGAGGAGGAGAGAGGGAGAGAGAGAAAGAAACATCAGTGATGAGAGAGAATCATTGATCAGCCACCTCCTGTATGCCCCCGGCTAGGGATCGAGCCGGTCAGGGGATCGAGCCCTGACTGGGAATCCAACTGTGACCTCCTGGTTCAAAGTCGAGGCTCAACCACGGGGCCACACCAGGCCAAAATTTAAATTTCTAAAGGTAATACATGTGCATGATTTTAAAAATGCAAACATTACAAAAAGATATACAGAGAAACATGAGACTGCCTACCCCAGCAACCCCAAACCCCAAACCCCTGGTCCTCCCTCCCCCGCCCCCCACCCCCACCCCGAGGCCACAACTGTGACCAGTACTTCCTTTGGAAATATTTGGATACAAGTCTCCCCCAAATTATTGCTGTCCTGCTTTTTTATTTTTTTTAATATATTTTTATTGGCTTCAGAGAAGAATGGAGAGGGAGAGAGAGAAACATCAATGATGAGAGAGAATCATCAATTAGCTGCCTCCTGAACGCCCCCTACTGGGGACTGAGCCCGCAACCTAGGCATGTGCCCTTGACCAGAATCAAACCTGGCACCCTTCAGTCCACAGGCTGACGCTCTATCCACTGAGCCAAACCAGCTAGGGCGCTGTCCTGCTTTTTATATTATGAGTCTCCCAGATCTGCTCTGGCCTTTTAAATAGTTGTATAGTATTCTACTGTGTAAAGGAACACTCACTTAAAGTCCCCAGTTTGCTAACACTGAGGTTGTTCCCAATTTAAAAAAAATATATTTTTATTGATTTTTAGAGATAGAGAAACATCAATCGTCTGCTTCCTGCATGTAGCCTGGGCATACGCCCTGATCAGGAGTCAAAAGAGCAACTTTTTGGGCCACAGGTCGATGCCCAACCACTGAGACACGCTGGCCAGGGCCATTTTCAATTTTGTTTTTGCAATTACCAAAAATGTCTTAACAATGTCCTCTTCCTCCCTCTCCTTTTTAAAAGTACATTTAAAATTTTGGAATAATTTTAGATTTACAGAAAATTTGAGGAGATAATACAGAGTCCCAGAATAGCCCTCACCAAGCTTCGTCCATTGGTAGCATCTTATATACCATGACTAGAGGCCCGTTGCAGGAAGATTCCTGCAAGAATAGGGCTTCCTGCAGCTGGAGCAAAGCAGAGAAGGGAGCGAAACCCTCTGAGGCTTTGCTCCCGCTCCCAGCTGCTGTGGCGGGTTTCCCCTCCCGCCTCCCGCCTCCCGCCTCCTGCCTCCCGCCTCCCGCCTCCCGCCTCCCGCCTCCCGCCTCCCGCCTCCCGCCTCCCGCCTCCGCAGCCTTGGCTCCGTTCCTGTCTCCGCCGCCTCTACTTAGCTCCCTTCTGTAGCACTTCGCTTCCATGTTGTCTTCAGTCTTTGCTCCCAGCCGGTATATGCAAATTAACCACCATCTTTGTTGGCAGTTAATTTGTATATCATGCTGATTAGCCAATGGGAGGTGTAGCGAAGGTACGGTCAATTACCATGTTTGTCTATTATTAGATAGGATGCTTCCTTTGTCAAAACTAACAAATTAACCTTAGTATATACTATTAACTAAACTCTAGGTTTTATTTGATTTACCCACTAAGTGTTTTTCTGTCCCGAGATCCAACTCAGGATTGTGCATTGTATCTAACCCATCAGTTGTTTCTGATGTATCCATGGACATCTGCTTGTAGAAAGTAGCCAGAGGGGAACGGATGGGTCGAATGGCATTTGCACTTTAATGCTGAGTCTAGAAAACGGCCACAGCAGTTCCCCCTGTGCTGCCTGGGACTGCTTGTCCCCCACAGCAGTGCCGACACAGTGTGTTTGCAAACTTTTAATCTATTTTTATCTTTGCCAAACTAATGGGTGGAAAGTGGTAGCATGTTGTTGTTTCCATTTGCATTTCTTTTCTAGGAGTGAGGAGGTTGGGTATCTTTTTTGGTGTGTTTCCATGAACTGACTGTTTATGTTCTTTGCTATTTTTCTATAGGTAATTTTTTTTTAACTTTTAAAAAAAATATATATTTCTTTATTGATTTCAGAGAGGAAGGGAGAAGGGGAGAGAGATAGAAACATCAATGATGAGAGAGAATCATTGATCGGCTGCCTCCTGCACACCCCCCACTGGGGATCAAGCCTGCAACCCAGGCATGTGCCCTTGGCCGGAATCGAACCTGGGACCCTTCAGTCCGCAGGCCGACGCTCCATCCACTGAGCCAAGCCGGCCAGGGCGGTAATTTTCTTTTTCTTTTTCTTTTTCTTTTTGCTTCATTTTTAAGAGCCCCTTACATAATATGGAAATGATTCCTGGGTATGAAAAAACCCCAACTATCTGAATGGGCCTTTCTTTTCTTCAAAGGATTTCTAGCTGGTTGTTTAGCTATCGGAAAGTTCGGTTCATTCTTTTGGGTCTTCTATATAGAAAACCATGCCACTAGCAGGTAACATTATTAGGTTTAATGGTTTCTGATGTATTCCTGCCAAAAATGCCAACCAGAAATTATAAGGAAACATCACACAGACCCAAACTCAGCCTCCACAGAATGACTGGCCTGGGCTCTTTAAAAATGCAATATTATGAAAGGCAAAGACACACCGAGGAAAGTTCCGGATTAAAGCAGATGACAGCGACTTGACAAATAGCGTGTGAGCCAAAATACTCTTTTGTTATAAAAGGGCATTATCAGAACAGTTGGCAAAATCTGTTTGAGGCTTGCAGATTAGATAAGAGTCTTTTATTAATGTCCATTTCCTGATTTTCATAATTGTGCCACGCTGATGTGAGAGAATGTCTTTGTTTTTAGGAAATGCAAACTCAAATATTTATGGGTAAAGAGACATAATTTCTGCAAGTTTTTCATAAAGGTAGAAAGGGAGGGAGGGAGGGAGGGAGGGAGAAAGAAGGAGAAGGAGAAGAAGGAGAAGAGGAAGAGGAGGAAAAGGAGGAGGAGGAAGAGGAGGAGGAGGAGGAGGAGGAGGAAGAAGACAGCAAAGCTGGTCAAAGTTAACATCTGTGGAGTCTGGGTAAAGAGTGCCCAGGGGTGATTTGTACTCATCTTCCAATTTTTCTGTAAGTCTTACGTTAGGTCAAATATAAAGGTAAAAGACAAAAAATAATATGAAATTGCACCACATAAAATAGTTATTTCAATTATTTTTGACCTTATATAAACAGTGCTTTCAAATGATTCAACCTACACGTTCCCTTTCTCTGTTCTACTATTTATATCTCTTGTTTTTCTTGTCTGATTGCATGGTTAGTACCGCCAAAACAGTATTAAACACTTGATGGTGGTTCTCTTTACCTTGTCCCTGAATGTGACGGTCCTATCATAACTTTTCTCATTTGATCCTTTAGTATGGTGAATTTTATGGGCAAACTTCGGAACAGTGACCCATCCCTGCACCTCAGGCATACGTCACCTTTGATGGGACATATTTTAAAAGTGCTGCTCGGTTTTCTTTGCTAAAATATCATTTGGGAGTTTCGTACCATCCTACAGGAAGAGGGGCCTGCCGTTTTCTTACTGTGCTGCCTGTGTCAGTTTTCGGTGTCAAAGAGAAGCCCGCCCCCCAAACATGACTGCACTCATTTCACAAAGTAAACCGAGGCCCAGGGAGGAGAAGTGACTGTCCAGGCCCCTCCCGCGCCAGGGCCGGATCTTAAGTCCCCGAGGCGGTGGGATGAGGGCAACGCTACCGCTGTCGTTAGAGGGGACTTAAGTCCCAGATCCGCAGTATCTCACTGGGCCTTTAAATGAGCCTGCTCCTCGCCTGCAGGATAAGCTCGAGGTGGTCGGGGAGAGAGGATGGAGTCTCCTTGTCTCCGTTCAGAGCGGTTGGTCTTAAGCTGGGCGTTGATGGAGACGGACTGGGCATCTCAGCCAGCGTGGGCACCGCGGAGCGTGCGCCCAGGACCGGGCAGTGCCTGCCCTCCTGGCTGGAGCCCGCGTCCTGCACGGGGCCGACTCACCCGTGCGTGCGCCGCGCCGGCCGCCGGCAGCCCCCGGAGGGTGTGGGGCGGGAACGCGAGCGGGGCCGGGGGCTGGGCCGGTGTCGGGACCCCGAGCGGGGCCGGGGGTGCGGCAGTCTTCGCTGGGGGTCCATCTCGGCTTCCAGGGCTTTACTGCCGGGAAGGAGGAGGGGCCGGTGAGAACGTGGGCCCGGGTCCCCAGGGACCCCCCAGCACTCTTCCTCATCCCTGGGAACCCCAACCCTCAGGGTCCTAATCCTCCCCCCACCCCCGGCCATGCCCGGGACCCGTCCCCCGAAGCCCGGCTCCAGATCCCCGCCCCTCCCTCGATACTTCTTTCCTTGCACCCTCCCAGGCCCCCCACCCCCACATGCGTCCGACCCAAAGAACCCAGGCCTCCAGCGCGCCGCCCCCAACCTGGGGACCCCCTCTCCCAACGTGCCCACCCGGCTCCCCACCCCAGGTTCCAACTGCAGGGCCCCACTCGGGTTCTCCCAAGGCCCCGCCCCCCTCCTGTCACTCACACGCGCTCGCGCAGAGCCGCCTCCCGGGCCGCGCAGGCTCCGCCCTCGGCCTCGGCTGCGCGTGCGCGCCGCTGCTCCTCCTCCAGCAGCCGCGTGGACTCGGCGGCCGCGGCCTCCCATCGCGCCAGGGCCTCTGCGGGCGCAGCGGGCGCGGTCAGGCGGGAGACCAGGCTCCCGACCCTGCGCGTGCCGGCGGCGGAGTGTATCGCCTGCCTATTGTTTGCGTGCTTTGCTTTGTTTGAGTTAAGTTCGTGTGCCGTTTACGTGGCCTTTACGTGCCACTTGACGTTTTCATAGCTTTGCGCTGCTTTTGGAAGTCGTTGACATGTTTTGTTGCATTTGCCTATTTGTGACCGTTGCATGTCATGCGCATCCCTTTCATAAGTTTTCGCGTTCCTTGGCGTGTTGTTTGCATTAGGTTTCCACCCGTGCTTGTCGTTTGCGTAACTAGGAAACTAGGCTCCTCCCACCTCCAGCCCTGCTCAGCGCCCGTTCGCCCCAACACACCTGTCAGCGCCCCGTTCTCGGCCCCCATCTGAGTCCCCTGGGCCTTGGCCTCCTCCATCTCAGTCTTCAGTGTCTTCAGTTGGGTCTGAAGCCGGCTCTGCAGAGGGGAGGGGACGTAAGGGGGGAATTCTGGGGGGGCAGAGGAGTGAATTGGCCCTGCCCTTCCTAGGGGAGGCTGAGGTGACCCTGATGTTCCCTGAGCTTTGTTGGAATGTCCTTTGGGGTCCTGAAGTCTGGAACACCGCGTGGTGACAGCTGCCTGCCTGGAGGGAGGTCTCCTCCTCGGTCCACCGCCCCCCAAGCCATGGGGATGTGGAAAGGGTTTGGCTCTGCAGTCAGACTGTAGTTCCAATCCCAGCTACATCTAGACTTGCCAACTGGGGTTTAAAACCAACACAAGCCCATTTGGTTGTTGGCAGTGATTGCATTTGTGGGTAGTTTGTCACCTCTCAGACATTCTGCAAAGCAACCAGCCTGGCCTTAGAGCAGCGGTTCTCAACCTGTGGGTCGCGACAGGTTTGGGGGTCGAATGACCCTTTCACAGGCGTTGCCTAAGACCATCGGAAAACACATACATAATTATTGTTTTTGTGATTAATCACTATGCTTTAATTATGTTCAATTTGTAACAATGAAAATACATCCTGCATATCAGATATTTACATGACGACTCATAACAGTAGCACAAGTACAGTTATGAAGTAGCCACGAAAATAATTTTATGGTTGGGGGTCACCACAACATGAGGAACTGTATTAAAGGGTCGCGGCATTAGGAAGGTTGAGAACCACTGCCTTAGAGCATCTTCCATTGGGAGGCAAAGGCAGAATTTGAACCAAGGGCAGGCTGCTCTTAACCGTGGCTGTCCCACACCCTTCCCTTACTAGTAGGTAGGCAGGAAGGGGTAAAGGGTCTGTTTTGAATTTTAAAATTCACACACTTCCCAGCCTCTGCTGGGCCCAGTACACAGAAGCACACAGTAGTTAATAAATATGAATCGTTGGGACTTTGAGGATGGGCATGGCTCTTGTGAGGCCCAGGGTTGGGAAAGGTTAAGAGAGTGTGAAGGAGGCGGCCAGAGAAAAAGGGAGGACCTGGCTGGTACCTCCTCCAAGAAGCTAACTTTAGCCTCCTAATTACAGGTGACATGAATGTCCTTTTCCCAAAATAGGGCTGGGACACTGGCTCGGGGGAAGGGGGCTGTTGAGTGGGCACTTGGGGGAAAGGATAAAACAGGTCCTCCCCAGGTGGGCTCAGGGCTTGGGGCTTCTCTGTCCACCGCTGTTTCTCTGGCAAATAGCAGAGGACAGGGGGCCTTCTGGATCAGAGGTGGAATAAAGGTGACTGACATGGTGGGAGCTGGCATTATGGTGCTGTTCCCATTCTCATGGAAGAATTGGGGAATTGCCTTGGCCAGTGTGGCTCAGTGGGGCGGGCGACCTCCTGTACACCGAGGGGTTGCTGGTTTGATTTCTGGTCCGGGCACATGCCCAGGCTGGGGGCTCAATCTCTGACAGGGGGCATGCAGGAGACAGCTATGTTGGGCTCTCACACAATGTTTCTCTCTCCCTTCCTCTCTCTTTAAAAATCAGTAAAAAATCTTTAAAAAAAAAGAATTGGGGAAATTGCCCTAGCCGGTTTGGTTCAGTGGGTAGAGGATCGGCCTGCAGACCAAAGAGTCCCGGGTTCGATTCCGGTCAAGGGTTGCAGGCTCCTCCCCGGCACTTGCAGGAGGCAACCAATCGAAGCGTTTCTCTCACATGGGTGTTTCTCTCTGTCTTTCTCTCTTTCTTCCACTCCCTAAAAATCAATGGAAAAAGATCCTTGGGCGAGGATTAACAACAACAAAAGAATTGGGGAAACCAAGGCACGAGGGGGCATCGTGTGTGTGTGTGTGTGTGTGTGTGTGTGTGTGTGTGCAGACCCTCTTCCCGCCCACATTCTGGATGCCCCAGCCCCCAACACTGCCCACCTACCTGGCGGCTCTCACAGGCCCTTAAAGCCTCCTCCAGCTCCTGATGGACACCCTTGGCCTGGTCCAGCTGCCTGGCCAGAGCCTCCTCGCGTTGGGCAGCCTCTGCCAGCTGTCGCTGCAGCTCCTGGACCTCCAGCGTGGGGTCCCCGGGGGGCACCGTGGTGTTGACTCCCAGCTCCAGCTCTGGGCAGTGAGGGCCCCTGGAGGTGGCGGCAGCCAGATTCCAGGCCAGGAGGGCTGCCCCGGCTGCAGCCGCCGCCAGGAACACAGCAGCCCCGCACAGGGCGAGCACTCGCCAAGCGTACCCCGGCTCCGGCCCAGGCTCGGCCATGCTGCTGTCCACAGCTCTGGCCTGGAGACGGCCACGAGCATTTAATTGGCACCTTAGGACGCCAGGGACACCCACGGGTCCGCCCAGCCAGGGCGTGTTTCCTAAATCCTTTGGGAGGGGTTGGGTCCTCACCAGGAGCCAGACCAGGCCTGGGGTCCTGCATTTTCCAGTCCTGTCTCTGCCTCTGCCTCTCAGTGCTCTTCTCTGAGCTTCAGTTTGCCCCTCTGTGAAGTGGGGGTGGCAGTAGGTCCTTAGGGTTTAGTGACAATCACTTGGGCACATCCAGGCACAGGGGCTCCTTGGCAATGTGCCAGGGGCATATTGTCCCCATTCTGTTCATGGAGAAACTGAGGCTGTAAGACTAAAGGCTACTCGACTGACTGAAGTTGGCCTGGGTCAGGCTGTCATACTTTCTTTGACCAACTCTGAGGGCCTGAGGGAAGATAGATGCCAGGGTGGACGGGCCACACCGCCCTGCTAATTCTCCACTAGGTCACCAGGGGGCGACCTTACAACGTGAATCAGATCCAGGCCAGTTCACAAAGTCCCTCTCAGAATCCAGTCTCCTCTCCAACCTCCAGCCTTCACCTCCTCCTGGCCTTCCTCCATTTTTATTTTTTACTTTCTGTTAATCCTCAGTTGAGGATATTTTCCCATTGATTAAAATAATTTTTTTATTGATTTCAGAGAGGAAGAAAGAGTGAGAGTGAGATAGAAGCATCAGTGATGAGAGCACCCCCTCCTTCCCCCCCACTGGGGATGGAGCACTCAACCCGGGCATGTGCCCTTGACTGAAATTGGACCCAGGACCCTTCAGTTCACCGGCTTACGCTCTATCCAAACTGGCTAGGCCAGGTCTTCCTCCATTTAAAAAAGAAATTTTTTTTATTGATTTCAGAGAGGACGGGAGAGGGAGAGAGATAAACATCATGGATGAGAGAGAATCATTGATCAGCTGCCTCCAGCACATTCCACATGGGGATCAAACCCAAAGCCCAGCCTGTGCCTTTGACTGGAATCAACGCCAGGACCCTTCATCCCCAGGCTGACGCTCTGTCCACTGAGCCAAACCAGCTAGGGCTTCCTCCATTTTTATCTCCTCTTCCTCTTCCTCCTCCTCCCTACTCCCCCCTCTTTCTTTGCCTCCCACTTGGCCTCACCCTTTACCCTTTGCCCCTTCCTAATCCATCACCTGCTTCCCCGTCCTCCTTCTCCTTCCTCTGCAAGGCCTCTAGTGCACCTTTGATGTCCTCTCCTTCTCCTGGGCACACTCCAGCCCTCCTCAATGCTCTTCGGGCAAGCACCTTCCTACCCCAGGGCCTTTGCATTGGCTGTTCCCTCTGCCACAGGGCCCTTATGTCCCTCTGTGACCTCTATCCCTCCTCCTTCATTCATTGGTGTATGTTCTCCCCCAGAGCCCTCCCCCCCTCCCCGACTACCTCAGGTTCCTTTTGATGATCTCTCGGCTCTGCTGTACTTTAACCTGGTGTCTGACTGGTTCCCAGCTGCCTCCCCCATCAGACTGGATGAACCCCTAAAAAGCAAAGCTCACATCTGCCTGGTTCCCACTGCCCCAGCCTGGGGCCTGGCACACAGTGGTTGTGCAGGAAATGTGAGCTGAGAAAACACTGTGAACTAGAATCTCAGTGTCCTGACTCCCCACCCCTGGACCCGCCTCCCTTTTATTCCACATGAAGAAATCAGAGCCCAGAGAGGCCAAGTCTCAGGCCAGGAACACACAGCAGCCGCTGGTCACTGCCAGATTCCTGTGGGACTTGGAACCCCTACAGACCTGCAGGACTTGAGTCCTGACTTCTCAACCCCTGGCGCAGTTGGCCACGGCCGGGAAGGGAAGTGGGCATTTATAGAAAGGAGAAGGGTTAATAATTGGGTCATTGTGTCAGGGTTTGGGGGGAGACATTGAACAGGTCAAATTCATCTTGTTGGGCTTTGGGGCGGCCACACTGTTTTGGAACATTCTGGTAGCCCCAGCTGGGAGTGGGAGTGGAGGAGGGGAGGTGGGCGAAGTGATGAGGTCATGTGGCCCCGTGGAAGGGTTTGCTTCCTGGAAATCAAGGGGACATGCTGAAGTCAAGGGTTCAATCGCCTGAGCAGCTGAGAGCCCTGAGCACGTGCAGAGGCTTCTCTGGACCTGTTTCCTCATTTGCTAGATGAGGCTGGTGGGGAGTGAAAAGACTCTGTCATAGCAAAGGGGCCTGGGGGGATCCCACTGAGCCCTCCTGCAGGCTGGGAATACAGAAGGGGGAGAGGCACCCCAGCCTGGCCCTCTCCAGCAGAGGTTCTCATAGCTTATGATTCTGACCTCCAGGGGACACTTGGTAATATCTGAAGGCAGTTCCTGTCACAACCTGGGGGTAGGAGGGTCTGGCACCTAGTGAGTAGAGGCCAGGGATACCTTGACTTCCTACCCATTCAGGGCAGCCCCCCACCAGGGAGCGCACTCCAGCTCAAATGCCAACAGTGCAGAGGTTGAGAAATCCTGCCTTAGAGTGTCAGAGGGAGGCCGGAAGGAAATTGACAAGGTCCCTGCACAGAGAAATGGTCTGGGAGGGTGGGGAGTTGTGAGCAGGGCAAGGGAGGGGACAGAAGGGCCAGGGGAGACTGTGGCAGGGATAGTGTTTGGGGGTCCCTGGGCGGTTGACCACCTCCTCTGGGGACTGCGGGACCTGAGGGCAGTGCAGAATTTTGGGCAGAAACAAGGGTCCTGACCCCAGTGCCATGCACAGGAAGTTTCATGGACAATAGTCGGGATTCCAGGAGAAGTTGGAGGAAGTAAGATAACAGAGAGGAAGGAATTAGGGGGCAGGTGAGGACCCAGGAGAGCGGGTGCAGGGTCTCTCAGGATGGCGGCCCTCCTTTTGGAGAAGCAGACTCTGGGGGTGGGCTCTGCAGGATGAGTAAGAATTTGGGGGATGGAGGAGGGAGGCACCTTGTGACTAATGCCTGGCCTGGGCGTGTCTGCGGATCCAGGTGTAAATCCCAGCCCCACACTTTCTGCTTTTATTTTTTTAAATTGACTTTTCTTTTTATTGATTGATTGATTTCAGAGAGGGAGGGAGGAAGGGAGACATCATTTTGTTGTCTCACTTATTCATGCTCTCACTGATTGACCCTTGTCTGTGCCCTTACTGAGGATTGAACCGTGACCTTGGCACACCGGGAGGACACTCCCACCAACTGAGCTACCCAGCCAGGGCTGAACTGATTTTTAGAGAGAGAGGAGGGAAGAGGGGAAGGGAGAGGGAAAGAGAGAGAAACATCTGTGTGAGAGCAAAACACGGATTGGCTGAATCCTGCATGCCCCCTACCCGGGAAGGAGCCTGCAACCTAGGCCTGTGCCTTGACCAGGAAATGAGCTGGCAGCCTTTTGGTGCTTGGGAAGATGCACAACCCACTGAGCCACAGCCACCGGGGCCAGCCCTGCACTTTCCATGGGAGGGGACGGGGAACCAGACAAGATGTCCTTCTCCTCACAGCCTCCGTTTCCATGGAAAGGGATGGGGAACAAGAGCCTCAGGAGCTGGGTGAGGAGATAAGACTAGAATGCTGAGCCCTGAGTGAGCACCCATGGGGGTGGGGAAGGGTGGACAGTCCTTTAGGGTGAATCCATCAGAAAAGAGGGCTGGGTAGGCATTGGGTGGCACCTAACAAAACCCTGTGGGCTTCTGGGAACATTCTGGAGCAAGGAGGCTGGTGTGGACATCAGGGGGTCCCAGGTGCTTGGGACTGACGCAGTGATCCTCTAGGAACTACAGAGTAAGTTCCTTCCCCCAAAGGGGAGGCTTATTTTGTGGAACCCAAAGACCCCAGAAGAAGTTACCTTCCAGAAACCATGACAGCACAGATCAGAGGCCCCCTCCCACTTCATCACCTGCCTGGCTTGGCGGTGGTGGTGGTGGGGGCGGGGGTGAGATGGCAGCTTTGTGGGAACTTTGAAGCTTCCCCACCTCTAAGGCTGCCCCATGAACCACTCCCCGCCACCTGGCCCCCGGCCTCCCCCTAACCGTCCCCTCCCCACAGCCATGTTGCCCCTCAGAACTGCCAGGTCAGGGAAACCCAGAGGGAAACAGGCGAGTCCAGGTGGTGGCCTGAGACAACAAGGCGGAGTCAGACAGAACTCGCCCCAACCCCTCCATGAGCCTCACCCACTCCTGCCTGGACCCTCCCTCTGAACCCGACACAGATGGGCCTGGGTGCCTGTCAGTCCTTGAGTCAATTATTAAGCAGAGACAGAGTTGAATCCTATGAAAGTTTATTAGGATAGATTGCCGGCCAAATGGGAGAGAGCGCCTCTGGGACCAGGTTGTTATCTTTCCAAGATGACAGGAAACTCTCAGAAAAGGAGCCTGGACTGCATTCTGAGGTTAATCCCCATGTCCCTGGGTACACCTCTCAGCCAGGTTAGAATGTGCTTTCCCTAATAGGAAGAGAACAGTCAGTCAACAGACAGGATGAATAGGAGAACATAGCTGGTCCCCACTGTTCTATTTCTGCCCCACAGCTCCTCACTGCGATTCCTCTCTCCCCAGCGCCCAGCCCCTCCTCGCAGGCAGGCCACCACCTCAGACCCTGACTGTCCCTACCTCCTCCCATCCCTCTCCAGCCCCCTCCGCACCTGCAGGCTTTCAGGCGCAACAGACCAGCACAGCCAGAGTGCTCAGGAACAGGAGCACAGTGGTCACAGAGAGAAGGATGCTGATGCTGAAGTTGGGGTGGCCCTCGGCAGAGACCAAGGCCTCATTCTCTTTCCTGAGGAGGAGATGGGGACACCTCAGGAGGCTGCCAGGTCTGGCTGCACTGGTGCTGGGCTCGAAGCCCCTCAAAATCTCTTCTCCTTCCCCACCAAGTCACTGGGCAGGGGAGTGGCCGGTTGCCACCCAGAGTTGGGTGACTGGAGGGACAAGGCTGGGACTCCAACTTTGTCCCCAGGACAATGGGAATTTTCGGAGCTAAAGGGGGTCCTAGGTCTTGGGGTTGGAAGGAGAAAGGGGCGTGGCCCGGGGTGGGTGGGTGTCCTGACCTTAGTTGCTCCAGCTCCGCGGATTTCTCCTCCAGATCCGCGGATTTCTTCTCCAGATCCGCTGATTTCTTCTCCAGATCCGAGGATTTCTTCTCCAGATCCGCGGATTTCTTCTCCAGATCCGCGGATTTCTTCTCCAGATCCCCGGATTTCTCCTGCAGATCCCCGGATTTCTTCTCCAGATCCGCGGATTTCTTCTCCAGATCCGCGGATTTCTTCTCCAGATCCCCGGATTTCTTCTGCAGATCCGCGGATTTCTTCTCCAGATCCCCGGATTTCTTCTGCAGATCCGCGGATTTCTTCTCCAGATCCGCGGATTTCTTCTGCAGATCCGCGGATTTCTTCTCCAGATCCGCGGATTTCTTCTGCAGATCCCCGGATTTCTTCTGCAGATCCGCGGATTTCTTCTCCAGATCCCCGGATTTCTTCTGCAGATCCGCGGATTTCTTCTCCAGATCCCCGGATTTCTTCTGCAGATCCGCGGATTTGTCCCGCAGCGACTGATTCAATCTCTTGATCTCCTCTAAGGAGGGACAGACAGTGTGTCCGCACCGTAGCCACGCCCTCAACTGGCCCCACCCCCGGACAGGACCCGCCTCTAGCCCGCTTCCATTGGAGCGAGTGCACTTTGGAAGTCTGGCTTGCCTGTCCCTTCTACTTCCACTGGCTTTGTCCTGTCCCTCTTGCCCGACCCCAGTCCAGAGGCCCTCCCCCTCCCTCCTCTTCAATACCTGACCTGCTCCTGCAAACTCCCTGACTGCAACCGGGGCCTGTGCTCTCCTCACCTTGAAGCTTCTGCACCAGCTCCTGTTGCTTGTGGCCCGCAGCCTTCTCCTCTTTCAGGGAAATCTTCAGGGTCTCCTGGGATGCCGGGAAGAGTAAGGGTGTTGCAAACTGGGGTTCTTGTCCCTGGTGGGGTTGGCTGCTGTCCCTGGGCCCTGACCCCCTCTCCAGGCCCTGGAGTCAGAGGGGCTCAGGCCCAAATCGCTTTCAGGATTCCTTCCAACCCTCTCTGAACCTGTCTCCACCACCCCAGGGTGTGATCCTCAAAATGGGAGTTTCAATCCCCCCCTCCCACCATTTAGGAATTTGAAGACTCTCTTGGCCCAAAGCCTAGGAGAAATGTCCAGATCCCCTGGGCTATTGTCCAAGAAGAGTTAGACGTCCCCTGCAACCCAGAACAGTGTGGAATTTCTGAACCCAATTTAAATGTCCACTGGGAATTTCAAGGTCCCCCACATCAAGACCCCAGTTAAATGCTGCCTTTCCGGGATGCAGTGGAAGTATCAAGAGCCCCTGCCTTGCCCTGGTAGGTCAGTTGGTTAGATGTGATCCCAATATGCCAAGGTTGTGGGTTCAATCCCTGATCAGGGCACATACTGAGAATCAACCCATCAATGCATCAATAAGTGGAACAACAAATCAATGTTCCTCTTGCTCTCTACTTTCCTCTCTCCTAAAATCAATACATAAAAACTAAAACTATAAAAATGAAATAAAAAAGCCCCCGCCTTCTTCAGAGTCTGGTGGGTTCCCCATCCCAACCCCCCAGAGGGGATTTCTGCTTCCCTAAGACTGTGCCCAGGGAGTTCCCCGCTGTCCTAGACCCATGGCCGAAAAAATGCGGTTCATGAGCCACATGCGGATCTTTGGCCCCTTGAGTGTGGCTCTTCCTAAGCCTTAGGAGTACCCTAATTAATAACAATGTACCTACCTATATAGTTTAAGTTTAAAAAATTTGGCTCTCAAAAGAAATTTCAATCGTTGTACTGTTGATATTTGGCTCTGTTGACTAATGAGTTTGCCGACCACTGCCCTAGACCAATGTCCTAGAGTTTGGAGATTCACCCACATCATACTGGGGATACTGAGGCCCTTTATTTGAGTGCTCTGGGGTCCCACACTGGCACCCCAGAGAGAGTTTAGAGCTCCCCAAAACCCTGGTGGGGAAATTCAGGCTCCCCATGTGTGGACCTAGGGGCAGTTTCAAGGTCTATCTAGATCTCCACCTAGACCCTGGGGTCCCCAAGCACCCAGACCCTGGGGGGCCCCCAAGCACAGGGCCCTCTCTAGGAGGGGCAGTGACTTACCACAGTCTGGTTGCAAGTGGCAGCTTGGGCCTCAGTTCCCCGTAAGACTTCCTGGGCCTGGGTCAGCTCCTGCTCCAGGAGGTGGGTGATGTTTCGACACTCCTGCTCAGCCTGGAGGCCATCCTTGCAAGCTGGGCTATTGGCCTTGGCAGCCAAAACGCCTATTGCCACAGACAGACCGACCACCAGTAACACCAGGAGGCCCAGGAGGATCCACACCCGCACTGGCAGCTTGCGGTCCTCCAGCGTCTTGGGATTTTCATCCGTGGGCAGTTGGGAGTAGCGGTGAGAAGTGGGTGCCATCGAGAGTGATGCAGGGGAGCCTGGGTGTGAGAAAGGAAAGGAAGCTAGAACTTTCTATGTGCTGGAACCGCCCCCTGATTAGCATGTGATCTAGGCCAACCAATGAGAAGTTCTAAAATGGGGCATCTGTAGGAAGAGGACAGTTTAGCTTTCACTTTCCTTTTCCAGAAATTAGGTGTGTTGTTTCTGCCATATTATGGGCTTGATCCTTCTGGGCTGGGTGCTGATTCATGAGCTCTTGTGGGAGAGGACACCCCATCGTAAGTCCCTGCCCTTCTCCTGTGTTCCTGAAGGTGACAGCTGCAGTGATGGAAAGCCTAGGGCATGCCAGCCTCTTGTTCCTGTGGACTGTGACCTGAGAGGCAGAGCATCATTGGTCCAGTCCCCAGCTGGGGAAACTGTGGCTGAGAGGTGAGTGGTGGACTGGGAGTGGGCAGGGCCAGGGTCTCACCCAAGAGGCTGGCTTTGGTGTCACTGTCCGTAGTGACCCAGCAGGAGCTCCCGTAGCATCCCTGCTGCTGTGTCAGAGGGGACCCTGGGGCCATGGAGGGTGTCGGAGGAGGAATATCCTTCTGCCTCGACCGCTTAAAGCCGCTCCACAGCCACAGGACCAGGGTGGGAGGGTCTTGCTGAGGAGCCACCAAGGAGCCGTGCATCCCATGAGCAGGAGCCGCTCCCAGACCAGGAGCCCAGGTGCAAGGACGCAGCCCTGGGGGAGAGAACTTCTCTGAGCTGCGCTGTGCCAGCCTCCAAACTTTAGGGCCAACTCGGGACCTGCACTGCGGGTCAGAGGCCAAGGCTGTGTGTGAACAGCCCTGCCGCCCAGTGGGACGCTGGGCAAGCAATGTCCCCTCTGCCTCAGTCTCCATGGAGGAGCTGTAAAATGGGGGTGATGATAACAGTAACATTTTCGTGCCCCCCTACATGTTGTAACCAAGGCAAGTGCCTTCCTCACCTCGCACTAGTCCTCGCCCTGCAAACAGAAAGCTGTGGGTTTTCCCTATAAATCAGTTTTGCCACCTTTCTTCTGGGTTTCGCTCAGGTTAAGGTGCACGCACTTGAGACAAAGTCTGATTGGCAGCGAAGGGGTAGAATCTCAGGGGAAGTGATGAGAGCGAAGAGGCGGGTGTTGTGACCTTTGATGAGGAAGTTGATGGTGCTACCATGCCATTGGACCCCTTAATGCCAGGAAGAGCACAGTGTGGGGAATACAAAAACACATTTTCCTTCCACCTTTCTAAATTCTTCTGCCTAGACCAGCCGTGGGCAAACTACGGCCCGCGGGCCGGATCCGGCCCCTTTGAAATGAATAAAACTTAAAAAAAGAGAAAAGACCGTACCCTTTTATGTAATGATGTTTCCTTTGAATTTATATTAGTTCACACAAACAGTCAATCCATGCTTTTGTTCCGGCCCTCCGGTCCAGTTTAAGAACCCATTGTGGCCCTCAAGTCAAAAAGTTTGCCCACCCCTGGCCTAGACTAATAATCAAATTAACACCAGACAGGTTAACAGGAGCATACAGCCAGAGTTATTGCACATGACATATTTATTAACCATGACAGCTTTATTACATATTAGAGGCCCGGTGCACGAAATTTGTGCACTAGTGGTGGTGTCTTGCAGCCCAGCCTGCATCCTCTCCAATCTGGGACATCCTTCTCACAATCCAGGACTGCTGGCTCCCAACCACTCACCTGCCTGTCTGCCTGAGTGCCCCTAACCACTTCTGCCTGCAAGCCTGATCACCTCCTAACCACTTTGCTGCCAACCTGATCGACGCCTAACTGTTCCTCTGCTGGCCAGATCGCTCCCAACTGCCCTCCCCTGCTGGACTGGTCGTCCCCAACATCCCTCCCCTGCAGGCCTTGTTGCCCCCAACATCCCTCACCTGCAGGCCATCTTGTGACCACATGGGAGTGGCCATTTGTGTGTAGTGATGGTAAATTTGCATACTGCTCATGACTAATTAGAATATCTGGTCGTGACTGTGAGGGCATCATGACCAATTTGCATATTACCCTTTTAGTAGTATACATATTTATATTGTGCCATGAGAAACCCCAGGGCAGACTGGGCATTTGAGGCACCGGTGCCACCCAGAGCTAGAGAGGGGGAGTTGTGGTTTGGGATTTGAAAGGGGAGGAAGGCAATTCACATGGAATGGAAAACAGATGTTTGCTGGGCCAACTTGAACAATGGGACTGTGATCAGAGGGCCTTGCTAGTGTCCTCTCTGTCCTTCCCACCCAGCTCCTATTAAACGACAGATGCCTGTGCTGAGCTCCCCTCCTGGAGCCGGTCCTCTTCTAGATCCCTTTCAGGCAGTTAGGGAGATGGACGGGGCTCTTCCTGAGGCTTTTGTTTCTTGAAAGGAACAGCTTAAACTGTCAGCATCTCCAAAGGCATATTTTGGGTGGTGCCCTCTGCTCCCCTCCACAGTAACAACAACCCAGGCAACAGACTGCCCCAGATTCAGGGAATGTTTGTGATAATATACTCCCAACCAGCTTATATTTTTAAGTATATTTTCATTGATTTCAGAGAGGAAGGGAGAGGGAAAGAGAGATAGAAACATCAGTGGTGAATGAGAATCATTGATTGGCTGCCTCCTGCACATCCACTACTGGGGATCCAGCACACAGCATGGGCATGTGCCCTTGACTGGAATCAAACCTGGGACCCTCCAGTCCGCAGACCAGTGCTCTATCCCCAGCACCAAACCAGCTAGGGCTGCAGCCTGGCTTATTGATGTAGCAGCCAGCTTCCCACAAAAGGCAGGGAAAGTATGCAGGTTGGTTCGTGTGGCTATGAAATCTGTGGGGCAATGGCTTCTCTCTGACCTGCAGGAGGCAGAGAGAATGAACAGTGTTCCCACTCACCCTGCCCTCTGGCAGCGCCTGCCTGTGCTCAGGGGGCTTCAGGCTCGACTCCCTTCTCGGTGGGATTATGTTATTGTGCAGGGAGGCTTTGCCCAGTGAGGGGCCTCCCTGTGCAGGTGGTGTAACAGAAGGAAAAGCTCTCTGATTCTATCTTATTTGTAGCCTGCATTTCTCCCATGGCCTTCAGGTATGCTAATTATTAGAGAAATTCTGCTGAAAGCTTGAACTTTTGGCAAAGATTTGTGGGAGCCTCAAGACCTAATGAGATGAGCAGAGGTCACTGGAGAACTGGGGGACAAAGAGAATCAGAGAGTTCTGTGCTCTTCCTTGGGTCCCTGTGGGAGCCCAGGTGTCACACATCTCTGGCCTGTTCTCCCTTCCCTTGACACGAAATAAGCCTGAATTCTGGGCTCTCGTGAGATGGCTTTGTGGGAGCTTTAAGGCCCTCATCTTCTCCAGCTGGCGCCTTCTTGATCAGTAAACCTTTTCTTCCTCCAAGCTCTGATGTTTTGAATAAAGGCCTTTTTTGACGCGTTGGGTGCATGAACCTTGAATCGGTAACAGTGGGACCCTAGAGATCTATAGAGCGGGAGGCACAAATTCTTAGGGAGCTGAGAATGCTGTAGGCCATCTACACCGCTATTTTTAAATTATTGATGTTTATTTCAGAGAGAAAGGGAGAGGGAATGCCGGGAGCCGGTCCATGCTTGCTGTTTCAAGGGACCTGGCATATATGGCATACTGTTCTTAATATGTTTGCTCACCTTCTTGGCACTATGTGTTTTAACCAAGGTCTCTGAGAAAGGTTGTTTCCCCAGGTAGGGATTTTCCCCTGAAGTTAGGGAGGGAATAAAACCTCTTAACTAGTGCCAGGTGGGTAATTAATCACTTTAATTTAACTACGAACAATCATGCTTAAGCTACATAATCTTTACTCCCTGGAATGGAGATAAGAAACGCCCTAACCTTTGTAATAGAGATTGATAGGATTGAATCAACTGGTATAAATACAGTTGTAAGAAGATAGCAAGACTCAGAACTTAGAACACAGAACTGAGAAGACAGAACCAGGAGGCACAGAACCTACACAGAACGTTCTCTAGAGACAGAAGAACTTCGCTGGAGAGAACATGGCAAAAGATCCTGGACAGAAACTGGCCTCAGAACCTAGAGACAGAACCTAGCGAGAGAACATGGCAAAAGATCCTGGACTGAACCTGACTACAGAAATTGGCAAGAGAACCTGACTAGAACCTGGTGACTGAACCTGGCTGGAGAACTTGGACAGAACCTGGCTGGAGAACCTAGCGAGGGAACATGGCTATAGAACCTGGCTGGAGAACCTGGAGAACCTAGCAAGAGAACATGGACACAGAACCTGGCTGGAGGTCCGAAGCAGAACTTCGCTGGAGATCCAGACCAGAACTTGGCTGGAGATCCTGGCTAGAGATCCTGGCTAGGCTGCTGATCAACTGAACGTTGTCTCTGTGTCATTCCTTCTTCGCCGACTCCATCCACACCTTTGGGGACCCCTGGACCTGCTGGGGCTGGACCCCAGCAAGGGAAAGAGAGAGAGATACATCAATGATGAGACAGAATCATTGATTGGCTGCCTTCTGTAAAACCCTCCACTGGGGATTGAGCCAGCAACCCAGGCATATGCCCTTGGCTGAAATTGAAGCCAGGACCCTTCAGTTCGCAGGCCGATGCTCTATTCATTGAGCCAAACCAGCTTGGGCAGCACACCCCTATTTTGAGGGCCCTGATTGTGGCCACATTCACTGCAGCAATGAAAACCAAGATGCTCCAGTCTGCCCTGAGCACTTGGTAAGGGATGCAGGTATCCACTGTGAGCCCAGTCATGGGATGGGTCAGTTCTGAAGAAATGACATGTAGCCGTATTCAAATTCACAAGAGCTTTAAGAGGAGAAACTTACATATGTGGGCAAAGCAGCTGCTTGCTTGCAGTGGTGGCAGCCGGGGAGAAACCCATACCTTCCCGGGACAGGATTCCCCCTCCCCTTCCACCTTTTTTAAAAAAATCCCCTCAGGGGAAGATATGCTTTTGTAGATTTTATTTATTCATTTATTTATTTAAATATGTTTTTATTGATTTTTAGAGAGAGAGTAAGGGAGAGGGATAGAGAGATAGAAACATTGATGAGAGAGAAACATGGATTGGCTGCCTCCAGCACGCCCACGGGGGTTGGAGCTTGCAACAGGGGCATGTGCCCCAGACCAGAATGGATCCCGGGACCCTTCAGTCCATAGGCCTAAGTTTTATCCTCTGAGACAAACCTGTTAGGGTTCTAAATAAACTTTTTTTTTTTTTTTTAGTTTATTCTTTTTTTAAAATTAAATCTTTATTGTTCAGATTATTACAGTTCTTCCTTTTCCCCTGCCATAGCTCCCCTCCACCCAGTTCCCCTCCCACCCTCTGCCCTTAACACGCCCCCCTCCACTGTCCTCATTTATAGGTGCACTATTTTTGTCCAGTCTCTTCCCGCATCCCCCACACCCCTTTCCCCCCCCGAAGAATAGTCAGTCAACTCCTTTTCTATGCCCCTGATTCTATTATAATCACCAGTTTATTTATTCACTTGATTTTTAGATTCACTTGTTGATGGATGTGTATTTGTTGTTCATAATTTGTATTTTTACCTTTTTCTTCTTCTTCCTCTTCTTAAAAGATACCTTTCAGCATTTCATATAATACTGGTTTAGTGGTGATGAACCCCTTTAGCTTTTCCTTATCTGTGAAGCTCTTTACCTGACCTTCAATTCTGAATGATAGCTTTGCTGGATAAAGTAGTCTTGGTTGTAGGTTCTTGGTATTCATCACTTTGAATATTTCTTGCCACTCCCTTCTGGCCTGCAAAGTTTCTGTTGAGAAATCAGCTGACAGTCGTATGGGTACTCCCTTGTGGGTAACTGACTTTCTTTCTTTTGCTGCTTTTAAGATTCTCTCTTTGTTTTTTGCTCTTGGCATTTTAATTATGATGTGTCTTGGTGTGGCCCTCTTTGGATTCCTTTTGTTTGGGGTTCTCTGCGTTTCCTGGACTTGTAAGTCTATTTCTTTCACCAGGTAGGGGAAGTTTTCTGTCATTATTTCTTCAAATAGGCTTTCAATATCTTGCTCTCTCTCTTCTTCTGGCATCCCCATAATTCGGATGTTGGTACGCTTGAAGTTGTCCCAGAGGCTCCTTACACTATCTTCATATTTTTGGATTTTTTTTTCTTTTTGTTTTTCCGGTTGGGTGTTTTTTGCTTTTTCATATTTCAAATCTTTGACTTGATTCTTGTGATCCTCTAGTCTGCTGTTGGAACTCTGTATAATATTCTTTATTTCAGTCAGTGTATGCTTAATTTCTAGTTGGTCCTTTTTCATATCCTCGAGGGTCTCACTAGATTTCTTGAGGGTCTCACTAAGTTTATTGGCCGTTTCTTGAAAATTCTTGAAAAACCTTATAAGTGTGATTTTGAACTCTGTATCCTGTAGTTTGCTATCCTCCATTTCTGTCATTTGTGACCTATTTCTTTGTCTCTGCATTTTTTATGTTTCCCTGTGTTGATAGAGTGTCTTTCTGTGCTAGGTGTCCTATAGGGCCCAGTGGTGTATCCTCTCCAATTACCTGAGATGGAAACTCTTGGTGCACCCCCTTTGTGGGCTTTGTGCACAGTCTTGTTGTAGTTAAGCCTTGATTGTTGTAGGTATCACTGGGAGGAATTGACCTCAAGGCCAATTGGCTGTGAGAATCAGGTGTGTCTGCCGTGGGAGAACTTCTGTTCTGGAGACACCCTTCTGGGGCAAGACTTGCTTCAGTGGGGCTTTGGTGCTCACTGAGTCTGCTCCCTGAGTGTGTCCCTTATGGATCTGAGGAGTTGTAATCTGGATGGTTCCACTTTGACCACTGGGTACACTGGCTCTTCGATCTCTAAGGAGGTGCTAATTTTGCCTCTGCCTGAGGCTACCCAGCAGGAGCTATGGAGAGATCTGCAGATTCCTTTTCTTTGTTTGGGGTTTGGAGGTGCCCAGATGAGGCCCAGCTGTGAAGCAATGCAAGCTGCTGTGGGGCCTTGGGCCTTCTTTTGGAAGTTCTGGGTCTCTCTGGCCCAGCTGCAGTTTGTTAGGTAATTTTCAGATTGCAAAGGGCCAGGCCTTTCATATGCAAAAGCCTCTGCTCACAGCTTCGGTGGGGTGAGGTCTCAGGGGATCAACAGGGCGGAGCAAGCAGCTATGGCTGATCCTCAGTCCTACACAAAGAGGCCCCAGGTCTCAGTGTCCCGGTAATCGCTGCAAGCACCTCTGAGAGAAAGCTGCCCTCGAGTTCTGCCTGCTGCCAGACAGTCCAGTTTCTCCCCGTATGAGTCTGGGTCCCCAGAGACTCACCTGGAACTGGAGTTCAGAGCAGTCGGGAGTTTGAGACTCCCTCCCGATCGAAAAAGACAACCGTGTCCTCAGTTGCCAGCCCTTTTGGCGGGCGCCTCTCTACCTCTGCACTTTACTTCCGCACCTCCTCTGAGTCTCAGTGCTTTTCTCTTTCCTTCTAGTTGTAGAATTTCCACTCAGCCAGCCTTCCTGTGGTTCTGGATGATGTCCGTTTTGTCTTTTAGTTGTAGTTTTGAAGTGGTTGTGCGAGGCAGCAATTTCCGGTGTTTACCTATGCTGCCATCTTGGTTTCTCCCAATTGATGTTTTTATATCCTCTCTCTCTCTCTCTCTCTCTCTCTCTCTCTCTCTCTCTCTCTCTTTCCTTTCTCTTTCCTTTTACCACTAGAAAAAAACTAGACTACAGGGTGACTCTGTGTAGACAGTTTGGTCTTCCTCGGAAACCCTCTAGGTGGAAGAAGGCAGGTACAGTTCGCTGAAGGACGTAATGAGGCTGGAGTAAGTCTTTTCATCATCTGTTAGGCCTGCATTGCCAGGTCTCACCACCACAGCTACAGGTACATCTGCTTCCTCCGCAGCACCGGCCTCTCGAGTCACGTCTGTCAGAAACAAGATGCTGTTGGTTGAGCAGCCAATGCTGTTTGCAATCTTTCGATAACTCTCACTCTCTACTTTGTGTCCAATCTTGGTATCAAAGTGACCATCAACAAGCTCAAGAGGTATGCCCCTCTGTAGCATACCCGAATAACAGTTTCTGTGCTTCTACGCTCCCTGAAGAATAAATATAGGCCTTCATTCCAGCCTCTCTCCACTTCCTAACTGCTGGAACTACATCTTCAAAGAACTCTGCTTTCATGTGCCCTGCTGTGAATGCTGCCCTCCACATGTGGCCCTGCAGCTGTTTCAGTGCCGGCGTCTTTCGGTCCAGAGACATCTGCCAGCACACAGTATCTACCACGGCCTGGATCATCAGTTGCCGGTCATCTGCTCCATTCTCAGGTGCAGCAGGGATCGGAACAGCCCCATCCAGGTGGGAGTCCTCTTCAGCCTGTTTCCTCAAAAGACTGACATCCTGCTGGCACTCCTCTTCTTCCCAATGGGTTCTGCAAATACTCTGTCACATTTTCTTTGATGTAAGGAAATAAAATGCCTGTCATCTAACCGGGCCTGCGCCCCTCTTCCAGTCCTCATTCAGCCAAAGAGGCCGCTGCGGTGGTTCTGGCCGATGGGCTTGGGAGGCCAGCCGCCCCCTCTCCGCCTGCGCCTGTAGCAGGAGCAGAAGAGGTGCCGCTGCCCGCAGGAGCCACCACGCCACTTCCTTTCTAGCCGGCGAGGGGTAAATAAACTTTTGATTGTATTTTGAAAAACAAACACACACGGGAATATGAAGTTTTCCTCTCTCCAACACCAGAGAACATGTCAGGCAATGATACCCTACAAAGTCCAGCTCTGGAAGCCTACCCAGCCCCTGTGTTGGCGAATCCCCCTCCTGTTAGAGTGATCACACCAGTGCTGAGGGGAAACGCCCGCTGGGAACCAGGCAGTCTACACCCTGTGAGGAGTGGTGGCTGTCACACAATATAAATTATCCAGCGTGGAGGGCATGAGCACAGAGGAGGAACTCTCTGAGAGCTGTGGAGGGGGGAGCGAATGCCCTGCCCATAGTGCTTTCTATGGCCTGGTGTGGCTTGTGTCTGGTAAGTGGGCGCATGGACCCTCCCACGCTCCAACTTCCCTCCCTCCTGCGGGGAGACAGTGAGGCCATCAGTCAGCGGACTGTGAGAGCTGGGAGCCTGGCCAGATCCTCAGGGAGGAAGACAGCTTGCAGTGTTGGTCTTACACAATGTTGGTCAAAAGAACAGCACGGGTCAGCCACCCCACGTGTGCCCCTCTGACGCCTGATGGGACTTAGCGGTTGAACTTGTAAGTCCTCATAAACCCATGTTTTTCACAGACAGTCCTCTGGGTTCTTTCTTTCTTTCTTTCTTTCTTTTTAAAAAAAAAATATATTTTATTGATTTTTTACAGAGAGGAAGGGAGAGGGATAAAGAGTTAGAAACATTGATGAGAGAGAAACATTGATCAGCTGCCTCCTGCACACCTTCTACTGGGGATGTGCCCGTAACCAAGGCACATGCCCTTGACCGGAATCGAACCTGGGTCCCTTTAGTCTGCAGGCCGACGCTCTATCCCGTGAGCCAAAGTGGTTAAAGCCTCAGCACTTTTGTAAAAAAGCCTGTTGGCTTATAACAGATGCATATGGACTAACAAGAATTGGATATGGAGGTGTCTACCGCCATCCTTGTGGCTCTGCCCAACACTGCCACCATCTTAGATACCTTGGCCATGATCCTAGGAGTGTACCAGGCTGTATTGTCCTTAGCAAATGCTTTCTCAGTCTGTCCCTGGCTGCGGAGTCACAACATAAAGCTGCCTGCGTGTGGGAGGCACAATAACAGACCTTCAAGTGCTCCCCCAGGTCTCCCCGCCCGCCCCACAGTGCCCTGAGGTGGGAGCCTGACACCTGTTCCTGTCCTTCCCCACATTTGTGAAGTGGCCCCTTGCACATGAGGTAATGGTGCCCGAGGAGACTTCCTTCAGGGCAGGACACTCTGCACAGTTTGCTGGAACATCTGCAGGCGAGCGGGTGGGCAGTTCACCCACAGACAATTCAAGGCCCGGGCACCACCATGGAGTGTCTGGGAGTTGATGGTTGGGTGAGATGCTCATTGTCCCAGAGACTGTGATTGACAAGGTGCAAGTACAGCCTCCGGGACCTGTGAAAGATGCGAATTTTTTAGGGATTTAGAGGGCTTATTTTTTTTAAAAAAATATTTTATTGATTTTTTACAGAGAGGAAGGGAGAGGGATAGAGAGTTAGAAACATCAATCAGAGAGAAGCATCCATCAGCTGCTTCCTTCACACCACCTACTGGGGATGTGCCCGCAACCAAGGTACATGCCCTTGACCGGAATCAAACCTGGGACCCTTCCGTCCACAGGCCAACGCTCTATCCCTTGAGCCAAACCAGGCCAGGGTGAGGACTTCTTTTTTTGAAATATATCTTTATTGGTTTCAGAGAGGAAGGGAGAGGGAGAGAGAGATGGAAACAACACTGATGAGAGAGAATCATTGATCAGCTGCCTCCTGCATGGCCCCCTCTGGGGACTGAGCACTCAAATGGGGCATGTGTCCTTGACTGGAATTGAATCTGGGACCCTTCAGTTCATGGGCCTACGCTCTACCCAAACTGGCTAGGGCAGGCCTTCCTCCATTTTTATCTCCTCTTCCTCCTCCTCCCTACTCCCCTCTTTCTTTGCCTCCCACTTTGCCTCACCCTTTACCCTGCCCCTTCCTAATCCATCACCCTCTTCCCCCTCCTCCTTCTCCTTCCTCTGCAAGGCCTCTAGTGCACCTTTGATGCCCTTTCCTTCTCCTGTGCACACTCCAGCCCTCCTCAATGCTCTTCTGGCAAGCACCTTCCTACCCCAGTGCCTTTGCATAGGCTGTTTCCTCTGCCAGAGGGCACTTAGCTCCCACTGTTACCAACTATCCCTCCTCCTTCATCCATTGGTGTATGTTCTCCCCCAGAGCCCTCCCCTCCCCTCCCCCACTGCCTCAGGCTCCTTTTGATGATCTCTCAGCTCTGCTGTACTTTAACCTGGTGTCTGACAGGTTCCCAGCTGCCTCCCCCATCAGACTGGATGAACCCCTAAAAACAAAGCTCACATCTGCCTGGTTCCCACTGCCCCAGCCTGGGGCCTGGCACACAGTGGTTGGGCAGGAAATGTGAGCTGAGAAAACACTGTGAACTAGAATATCAGGGTCCTGACTCCCCACCCCTGGACCCGCCTCCCTTTTATTCCACATGAAGAAATCAGAGCCCAGAGAGGCCAAGCCTCAGGCCAGTAACACACAGCAGCCCTGGTCACTGCCAGATTCCTGTGGGACTTGGAACCCCAACAGACCTGCAGGACATGAGTCCTGACTTCTCAGCCCTTGGCTCAGTTGGCCACAGCCAGGAGGGGAAGTGGGCAGTTTTAGGAAGGAGAAAAGTCTATAATTGGGCCATTGAACAGGTCAAATTCATCTTGTTGGGATTTGGGTGCAGCCACACAGTTTTGGAACATTCTGGTAGCCCCAGCTGGGAGTGGGAGTGGAGGAGGGGAGGTGGGAAGTGATGAGGTCATGTGGCCCGTGTAAGGGTTTGCTTCCTGGAAATCAAGGGGACATGCTGAAGTCAAGAGTTCAATCGCCTGAGCAGCTGAGAACCCTGAGCAAGTGCAGAGACTTCTCTGGACCTGTTTCCTCATTTGCTACATGAGGCTGGTGGGGAGTGACATGACTCAGTCATAGCAAAGGGGCCTCAGGAGCTCCCACTGAGCCCTCCTGCAGGCTGGGGACACAGAAGGGGGAGGGGGCCCCAGCCTGGCCCTCTCCAGCAGAGGTTCTCACAGCATATGATTCTGACCCCCCTGGCGACACTTGATAATATCTGAAGGCAGTTCCTGTCACAACCTGGGGGTAGGAGGGTCCGGTACCTAGTGAGTGGAGGCCAGGGATACCCTGACCTCCTACCCATTCAGGGCAGCCCCCACCACAGAGAGCACTCCAGCTCAAATGCCAACAGTGCAGAGGTTGAGAAATCCTGCCCTAGAGTGTCAGAGTGAGGCCGGAAGGAAATTGACAAGGTCCCTGCACAGAGAATGGTCTGGGAGGGTGGGGAGTTGTTAGTAGAGCAAGGGAGGGGACAGAAGGGCCAGGGGAGCCTGTGGCAGGGATGGTGTTTGGGGGTCCCTGGGTGGTTGACCACTTCATCTGGGGACTGCGGGACCTGAGGCCAGTGCAGAATTTTGGGCAGACACAAGTGTCCTGACCCCAGTGCCATGCACAGGAAGTTTCATGGACAATAGTCGGGATTCCAGGAGAAGTTGAAGAAACTAAGATAACAGAAAGGAAGGAATTAGGGGGCATGTGGGAATCCAGGAGAGCGGGTGAAGGGTCTCTCAGGATGGTGACCCTCCATTTTGGAGAAGCAGACTCTGGGGGTGGGCTCTGCAGGATGAATAAGAATTTGGGGGATGGAGGAGGGAGGCACCTTGTGACTAATGCCTGGCCTGGGTGTGTCTGCGGATCCAGGTCTGAATCCCAGCCCCGCACTTTCTGCTTTTATTTTTTTTAATTGATTTTTCTTTTTATTGATTGATTGATTTCAGAGAGGGAGGGAGGAAGGGAAACATCATTTTGTTGTCTCACTTATTCATGCTCTCACTGATTGGCCCTTGTCTGTGCCCTTACTGACGGTTGAACTGTGACCTTGGCTCACCGGGAGGACACTCCCACCAACTGAGCTACCCAGCCAGGGCTGAACTGATTTTTAGAGAGAGGGGAAGGAAGAGGGGACAGGACAGGGAAAGAGAGAAACATTTATGTGAGAGCAAAACACGGATTGGCTGAATCCTGCATGCCCCCTACCCGGGAAGGAGCCTGCCACCCGGGCCTGTGCCTTGACCAGGAAATGAGCTGGCAGCCTTTTGGTGCTTGGGAAGATGCAAAACCCACTGAGCCACAGCCACCGGGGCCAGCCCTGCACTTTCCATGGGAGGGGACCGGGAACCAGACAAGATGTCCTTCTCCTCACAGCCTCCGTTTCCATGGAAAGGGATGGGGAACAAGAGCCTCAGGAGCTGGGTGAGGAGATAAGACTAGAATGCTGAGCCCTGAGTGAGCACCCATGGGGGTGGGGAAGGGTGGACAGCCCTTTAGGGTGAATCCATCAGAGAAGAGGGCTGGGTAGGCAGTGGGGTGGTACCTGACCAAACCCTGTGGGCTTCTGGGAACATTCTGGAGCAAGGAGGCTGGTGTGGACATCACGGGGTCCCAGGTGCTTGGGACTGACACAGTGATCCTCCTGGAATTACAGAGTAAGTTCCTTCCTCCAAGAGAGGATGCTTATTTTGTGGAACCCAAAGACCCCAGAAGAAGTTATCTTCCCGAAACCATGACAGGACAGAACAGATGCCCCCTCCCACTTCATGACCTGCCCAGCTTGGAGGTGGGGAGGGCGCAACTTTGGGTCAACTTTGATGCTTCCCCACCTCTAAGGCTGCCCCATGAACCACCCCCTGCCACCTGGCCCCCGGCATCCCCCTCACCTTCCCCTCCCCACAGCCATGTGCCCCTCAGAACTGGCCAGGTCAGGGAAACCCAGAGGGAAACAGGCGAGTCCAGGTTGTGGGCTCTGAAACCGACAACAGATGGGTCTGGGTGCCTGTCACTCCTTGAATCAATTATTAAGCAGAGACAGATTTGAATTTTGGAACGTTTATTAGGATAGATTGCTAAACGATCTGGGACCAGGTTGTCATCTTTCCAAGATGACAGGAAACTCTCAGAAAAGGAGGCTGGACTGCATTCTGAGGTTAATCCCCATGGCTCTGGGTAAACAGCCCTCAGCCAGGTTAGAATGTGCCTAATTGGAAGGGAACAGTCAGGGTTAACAGATATGATTAATAGGATAACATAGCTGGTCCTTACTGTCCTATTTCTGCCCCAACAGCTCCTCACTGCGATTCCTCTCCCTCCCTACAAAGACCCTGCTCCTCAGCACCCAGCCCCCTCCCCGCAGGCAGGCCACCACCCCAGACCCTGACTGTCCCTAACTCCTCCCATCCCTCTCCAGCTCCCTCCTCACCTGCAGGCTTCCTGGGACCTCAGGCCAGCAGAGCCTGGAGGCTCAGGGGCAGGAGCACAGCAGCCACGGAGAGACTGAGGCTGACTCCGGAGTTGGGCGGACTTGGCAGAGACCAAGGCCTCATTCTCTTTTCTGAGGAGGAGATGGGGACACCTCAGGAGGCTGCCAGGTCTGGCTGCACTGGTGCTGGGCTCGAAGCCCCTCAAAATCTCTTCTCCTTCCCCACCAGGTCACTGGGCAGGGGAGTGGCCGGTTGCCACCCAGAGTTGGGTGACTGGAGGGACAAAGCTGGGGCTCCAACTCTGTCCCCAGGGCAATGGGAATTTTCAGAGCCAAAGGGGATCCTAGGTCTTGGGGTTGGAAGGAGGAAGGGGCGTGGCGGGGGTGGGTGGGTGTCCTGACCTTAGTTGCTCCAGCTCCGCGGATTTCTTCTCCAGATCCGCGGATTTCTTCTCCAGATCCGCTGATTTCTTCTCCAGATCCGCGGATTTCTTCTCCAGATCCGCGGATTTCTCCTGCAGCGACTGATTCAATGTCTTGATCTCCTCTACGGAAGGACAGAGAGTGTGTGGGCACCGTAGCCACGCTGCTCAACTGGACCCACCCCCGGACAGGACCCCGCTTCTAGTCCACCATTTAGTGAGTGCACCTTGGAAGTCTGGCATGCTGGGTCTTCCTGCTTCCCCTGGCTTTGGTCCTGTACCTCGGACCCCAATCCTGAGGCCCTCCCCCTCCCTCCTCTTCAATACCTGACCTGCTCCTGCAAACTCCCTGACTGCAACCGGGCCTGTGCTTTCCTCACCTTGAAGCTTCTGCACCAGCTCCTGTTGCTTGTGGCCCGCAGCCATCTGCTCTTTCAGGGAAATCTTCAGGGTCTCCTGGGATGCCGGGAAGAGTAAGGGTGTTGCAAACTGGGGTTCTTGTTCCTGGTGGGCTTGGCTGCTGTCCCTGGGCCCTGACCCCCTCTCCAGGCCCTGGAGTCAGAGGGCTCAGGCCAAACCCCTTTCAGGATTCCTGCTAACCCTTTCTGAACCTGTCCCCCGCCCTGAAGAATAGCCATAGCCTCCCACCCTCCCAGGGTGTTATCCACTAAATAGGAGTTTCAAGTCCCCCCTCCCTAGGAATTTGGAGGCTCTCTTGGCCCAAAGCCTAGGAAAAATGTCCAGATCCCCTGGGCTATTGTCCAAGAAGAGTTAGGTGTCTCCTGAAACCTAGAACACTGTGGTATTTCTGAACCCAAGTTAGATGTCCAGTGGGACTTTCAAGGACCCCCCACATCAAGACCCCAGTTAAAATGCTGCCTCTCATGGATGCAGTGGAAGTATCAAGAACCCTTGCCTTGCCCCGGCCACGTAGCTCAGTTGGTTAGATCATCATCCCAATATGCTGAGGTTGTGGGTTCAATGCCTGGTCAGTGCACATGCTAAGAATTAACCAATGAATGCATCCATAAGTGGAACAACAATCAATGTTCCTCTTTCTCTCTCCCTTCCTCTCTCTCTAAAATCAATAAATAAAAACTAGAAAAAAAAGCCCCTGCCTTCTTCAGAGTCTGGTGGGCTCCCCATCCCAACCCCCAGAGGGGATTTCTGCTTCCCTAAGACTGTGCCCAGGGGGAGTTCCCAGCTGCCCTAGACCAATTTCCTGGAGTTTGCAGATCCATCCACATGCTACTGGGGATACTGACGCCCCTTATTGGGTGCTCTGGGGTCACACACTGGCACCCCAGAGAGAGTTTAGAGCTCCCCAAAACCCTGGTGGGGAAATTCAGGCTCCCCATGCAGGGGCCTAGGGGCAGTTTCAAGGTCTATCTAGATCTCTACCTCGACCCTGGGGGTCCGCCCAAGCACAGGGCCTTCTCTAGGAGGGGCGGTGACTTACCACAGTCTGGTTGCAAGTAGCAGCTTGGGCCTCAGTCCCCGTAAGACTTCCTGGGCCTGGGTCAGCTCCTGCTCCAGGAGGTGGGTGATGTTTCGACACTCCTGCTCAGCCGGGAGGCCATCCTTGCAAGCTGGGCTATTGGCCTTGGCAGCCAAAACGCCTACTGCCACAGACAGACCGACCACCAGGAGTCCCAGCAGGATCCCCACAATCCCCTCCCGCACTGGCAGCTT